GGAGATGTCTGTTCTCAAAGTCGCAGACAAGGTTGCAGAGGTTGTACGAACTAATGAGTACGATTTCGTGATGTGCAACTTTGCACCACCTGATATGGTGGGCCACACCGGAAAGTATGATGCAGCAGTCCAGGCAATCACCCACTCCGATGATGCCGTTAAGGCTATCTATGAAGCCTGTAAAGAGGCGGGTTACATACTTCTCATCACAGCCGATCATGGAAATGCAGAGCAAATGGTCAACCCCGAAACAGGGAATCCCCATACTGCCCATACAACCAACCCAGTACCCTTCATTATGACCGCCGACACAAATAAGTACACGTTCACTGAAGATGAAGCTGGTGAAGAGGAGGGAGCGTTGTGCGATGTTGCACCTACAATACTAGCGTTGATGGTGTGTATGATGAAAGGAGGTTCGCCACCTGCTGACTCAAATTCATAGGGAATCGAACAACCCAGTGACATGACGGGACGATCCTTGTTGAAAGTCAAATCGGAGTGATCGTTCCAGGCTGCCTTGTTCTCGAGGATACACTGACTTCTCAGTTGGACACACGCTTGAGAGAAACGTAATCTTATCTATGAGGACGTAACAATGGGCATATTACATAGGTATCGGTACTAGCACAAAGATGAGCAACTGTGAATACATTACAAGATAGAAAATGCTCGATAGACACTAGAAATGCAAGAAAGCATGACAAAGGCACAATACTGTCAAGTCGGTAGCACTAACAATCGATAGCGCTACTTGACGCATAGTATCCAGACAAATGCGCAGACAAGAGGAAGTGGGATCGTTAACGAGACGTAAGCATACTGGTATAGTCAAAATAAAGGAGGGTTGTGGTGTGAGACTTCAAAAGAGTGAGATAAATTCAGTTATCCAGGGCAAGAAAAGGGGATGTTGGCGAGTCAAATGAGGACGGAGAATCAGTTTCATCGAAACTGCAGTCGAAACCGGAATCATATCCGCTTGAGCCAGAAGAGGAATCACTGCGGAAGCTATCGACCCTCCTGCGCTTGCTTTCTGGCTCTGAGATGTATGGGTCTTGATCCCAAAGGCCGTCAATGGAATCTCGCCTGGAACGTTTCTTATCCGAAATAGAAGCCGATTGATGAAGAGTTAAATCTTCGTCCTCTTCCATTGAACCGTTGAACAAAAAGTCATTGTCTTTCCTTGGAGAACCACGTTCAGCAGCGGCTGTAATGACTTCTAAAGCCTCCTCTTTCGAGAGGCATGGCCGAGCGAGTCGATTTAATTCTGCCAAATGAGCCTCGACGTCCCAACTACCAATCCTGAAGTGACCGCGATCATCTTCTGACACGGGTGAAAAGATCAAATGGTTACGATCCTTAGGTTTAGCAGGAGATTCGACTGGCGTCATGGGAAGGTCTGAGGGATTGACTACACTGTCAAACACGATAGTATCGTCATCTTGACCCATTAGTTGCTCATGTGAATGAGCAAAATAATCTGAACTCGCAATTGAGACTGAGGAAGCGCTTGGAGTTGGGCTTGGTGCGCGTGAGGAAGCTGGGGTAGCTGAACGGTCAAACCGGCGAAAAGAGGGAGGGGCCCAGGAATCTCCATCTCGCGATCGAGTACGACTATGGCTAGAGGCAATCGACCGTTTTTGAATGTGTCGAACTGGGCGCCTGATCTCCTCTTTTAGGACTTCTTTGCTGCGATCTATTTTTCAATGAGCCAACTGTGAATTTTACTATAAACTCAATGCATACCTGCTTTGGGCCAATGTTCTTTAACATGCCGTTCCCAAATGGCTTTCGCGTTTTTACCGCCAAATCGACCTCGGCAGAATAAGCACCTGACCCGAAGCATGAGGTCTTCCGGATTATTCTTTGTCGCATCATAATGACATTTGGAAGGCCTTAACCCCAATGGCAAGTCGATGAACATAGGAAACATTTGCAGTGCGGTCGAAATGTCCAGGAAGTCGTGTGTAGTTTGGAAGAAGAGGTCATAGGTAACCGATGAATCTCGTGGTGAATGGAAAATAACGCCTGGCTCTGCAGTCGTTGGTTTTTTAGCGAGCTCGGTTTGTGTTAAACGACACCGCATTTCGATGTAGTCGAAGTGACTCAAATACACGGTTCGATTCTGCGCATCGGACTGAGAGGTGGGAATAGGAGATGTCTGGGATGTGGATGTGTCTACAGGACTCGCAGAGTCGAATTGAGTTGATGATACACGCTGTTGTCGCGGATACGGAGTATAAAAAATAGAACGCGAGGGTTTGGTCGACGCTGCCTTGCTCGATTGCGAAGCGTGATTATGGTTTTGCAATGGCAATAGAGCACCTAAATGGATGATGAGAAATTTTATGAACGCGTCATGAACGCGTAAAACATACCGCGCGAGCTGGCTGATGGAGGGAAGGCGCTGTAGGGGGAGGATATCGCGGTGGAAGTCGCAGAGGATTCCTGTTGGGTGGTCATTTGGGTTATAGGGGATCGCAGAAGTGTTTTTCGGAGGGGTCTCAAGGGGGGCACGTATGTGGACAAGTCGAAAGTCTTTATTCCGGCTGGACCACCCTTAACGCGCCTTTTAAACCCCGCAAACCACTTGTCACCATTCACGTGACTGATCACAAACGATCTACATCCTTATCTTATGCACCATATTGTCTCTAGGAGTCATATTTTTGCTATAGAGAATGATTGGCCGTTGGCGGTCAATGAACGACATTTTATCCGGCACGCTACCTCAGGATTATAAGTCCTCGTTTCACGAAAAGGTAATTAGAAGTAATAACAATCGGATATAATCAAGGCCCAAATAGAGAAATAAGAGTTTATAAAGAATTTCACGCAGATTTCTCTTCAAACGCCAGTGATTGAGGATAGGGGCTTACAGTGGAAAGCACAGAATATGGGGACAAAGAGCCATATAGAGAAACAAAGGATTCTTAAATAGGACACATCACTTGATTAGTGTGACAAATGTATCCAAATCCCTGATCATTGAACAGCCAGTACTTTAAGCCACTACACAACGACCGCCCTTCTTGTCCTTTGGTTTGGCCGAGGGATACACTAGTAATCTTTGAGAATTGAAAGTGGGTCGAGATAAGTGTACTTACAAACTGCCCGAATAGCTTCGTCAAACACATTCTTTAGGCCTTTCTGGGTTAATGCGGAGCACTCGAGGAACTTGGTTGCTCCAATCTCCTTGTGCATGCTCATACCCTGTTGGTAGGTCACAGGAGCCATGCGTCTAAAGACTTGTAAGCAACATTACAGGCACAATATCTATGACTCACCTCTCTCGGAGCTTTTCGATGGATGCAGGATCTTCGCGTAGATCCAGCTTGGTTCCAACGAGTAGTTTAGGCACACCAGGGGCGTGGTGATTAATTTCAGGATACCACTATTTATCCGGTTAGAAGTAACCCAACGCAGTTATAATATAATAGTTACCTTGCTTCTCACGTTTTCGAAGCTTGGCGGGCTAACAAGAGAGAAGCATACGAGGAAAACGTCCGTTTGAGGATAGGACAGTGGGCGGAGACGGTCATAGTCTTCTTGACCAGCTGTATCCCAAAGACCGAGACTGATCATTTTGCCATCGACCATAACTTGAGCTGAAACGGAAAAATTGGGAGTCAGCTTCTGTGGGTGAAGTAAGGCCCTCTTCGGAGAAGTGGGCCATGTCGGGATGGTGAATGGGCGGAGTTAGAAAGGCGCTTACCAGTGTAGTTGTCAAATACTTTTGATGAGAAAGAATTATCATGAGTGATGGACTGATAAGATGTTACTAGGATGGACATACCCGTTGGGATGTATTCACCCTAGCAGTAGGAGACAGTTATCAGTGGGCGTCTACCGAGGATCGCTGTAGCATACATACAGGAAACGCATTTGTGGTATAAGAGATCAACAAGCAGGTCTGTGTGGTCAAGTATGTTGAGCACTTGTACAGCGGACAGGGCCCATATAGCCAAGAATCAAACGCTGACCTTTCCGACAGCTCCATCACCCACGACGACACCTGGATAAAACAAAGGATAGGTCATAAACTTTATCCAGACATAGACAGGTGAATAAGTGATGAGGGGCTTCGTGGACTTACATTTGATGTTCTGAGCCATTGAAGAAATACAAAGAGATAGCTGAAAGTGTAGATAACTGAACTGTAAAGATTCTTTAAATGTTATACGTGTTTTCGAATGGTACTAATAGAGGTCCTTGAGCGCCGCCGGTTAATGGCCTTTCGTGGATAGGTTTAAGTGCTGCTACCAACCACACGAGTTGTTGGGCTCATAGGGCTTCGCTATCTGTCCTCGTGTGATCTAGAGGGTACAAGAAGAATTTCAAAGACCATAGCTCTCTTGTCCGTTTCTCCTACCTTCAAGATCAGAATTCACCCAGAGTGTCCTAATGGAACCTGCCAACGGTAGGCACGCTATTGTAATAACATAGTCCGAGTTCTCAAAGTGAACGAGATATAGAATGCCATTAGCATTCAAAAACTACCTTACATAGTCCCTGTTATGTCACGCCTTGATCTCACTCTTTCCCATACTAACTTTTGATCCTTTATAACGCCAATTGGTATTTTGTCGCCTTTATCCTTGAGTACAGTTGGTAAGGAGTTGAACCGTTTCTCTCCAATGTGCCCACATGCCAAACTTTAGATCGTGTGCACATACCATACCCGAGGAAGATATAAGGAGATCCGGGTACCAAGGTATAATTCTGCTAGTTCTCTTGGATTTAATGGATACATAGGCAGTATTTTCCCTCCCCACTGAGTGGTGAGAGATAAGGGGCCTAGACAATCTTATCGGTGGCCTGATCCTTTCGACTGCCCCATCTCAACACGGCATGTCGGTTTCGCTTCCACAACCATCGGGTTCAGCAAAAATATATGCAACAGGTAAGGTTGCACTTTTCTGGGGGGCTAGCGCTGACTGGATCCAGCAAAAAAGGAATGGGTGATACCCGCCCGTGCCAAGCCAGGCAGAAAGCCCAAATCAGTCGCAAGAGAAGACATGGATTTCGAAGAAGATGTATGTCATATTTGTAAGGTTTGGCTTTTTCGCTCATTGCTCCGCAGGATATGTCAGAGAAAGGAAAGAAGTCTCAAAACAGGTACTTCTAGCCCCGGGATCGATTTCCAACTCTGTACTGACGGAAATATAGGGCAGCTCAGCGGGCATTTCGTGAGAGAAAG